CTGTTCAGTTTCTGGAGGGGATAGTAGCAGCACTTTGCTGCACCAGGCGCTCTTGACTTGTGCCATCTCTTCAGCTACTTTGTCCTCTTCTTGAGCCGTGTTGGCGCATTGCTGCACCAAGCGCACATGCTTTGTGTTGGATTCTTGGAGCTGTCTAAGAAGCAGAACCCTGTACTGGCAGGTGAACATTGTTCATTTCTTTACACACAAAAGCAGCTTTGAGGTCAGGACTTTTGTCTGAAGGGAACAGCAGCAGCACTTCACTGTGCTAAGCACGCTTGAGTTTATCCTGCCTCTTTTGAGAACCTTGAGCTCTGATCTGAGCTGTACATCAAGGGGAGTGATCTGTTCCTTGTGTGTAACATGAGTGTAGCCTTAGGGTCAGAGCATGACCTAAATGACATCCAAGGGAGATATTTGAGGTGCATGCTCCTCTGCAACTCTGTCAAGGTTGTAGTGCTGCAGCTTACCTGTACCCCAGGCAAGGTGCGTGCTTGGAAATGCTTGACTCTGTCTGGCCAGTCTACTAAACTTTGCCTTGGCCCAAAGACTGCAGCTGCTCTGGTCCTGTCTGAGTCAAATCCAGAGGAGGGAGGGGCGTGTCAGATTTGCGCTCTTCATCAAGTGACCAAGTTGAATGATCTTAACGGAGGGCCAAGGTTGATGAGCACTCGCTTGACAATGCCAATGGCAGGTACCAGCTCAAGGCATGCATCACCATCAGGGGCTTGCGGTGCAGCTGTCCTCAGTGCAGCAACTTGGCCCTTGCCTTCCACAGACTTTGCCTTGAAGGTGTTCCTTGCAAGCTTCTTGACGAGAGTGTCAATGTGACTTGCACCGTGCGTCTTGCTGGCCTCATCAAGGAACCCTAGCAAGTCTTTGTTGAGCAAGGCCTTGCACTCCTCACTGGGCAAATCTTCCTCCTGCGCTGGCCCTTGCAGACCCAAGTCGATGGCAAGCGTGGGCAGACTGAATACCTCGAAGTGCGCATCCGTGACCTCCAGTGTCGACAAGAAGTTGAGCATCAGGGTGCTCTTTTCAGCTCTTGCGTCCGCTTCAGCACGCTCTTCTGGGGTGACCCTGCTGGTGTAACCAAAGTAGTTGCCGGTGCGACCAACAGCAGCTTCCTCTTCCTCGACAATGATTGGCGCAAGCGTGCTCTGCGGGAAGCTCATTGCAAATTGAGCACAAGCCTCGTCATCTGGCAAGATCTTTCTTGCATGCCAGTAGAATTGCGCCTTGCCGTCTTGCAAATCATCCTGCAACGTGGTCAAGTTAAGCTTGCTGGGCAAGAATCTTCCACCATCAATTGCAATCAAGAGATCCTTGCTGGGCTCAAGGCGCTCTCGCCAGATGTCCTGGCACACCAATTTGATGCCCTGCAGAGACAGCCAAGCATTGATTGCATCCCGCAAAGAAAGGGAGCCATCTTGCAGTCCTCCTTGCTGTTTGGTCCAAAGGTCATGCAGATCTTGGCGCAGCTGCATGTTGCTCGAGCAAGTAGCAAAAGCGTCCTTAGCAGCGGCCAGCTTTGCCTCAATGGTCTCAACCTGCTTCTGCTTCCATTTGCGCTTCTCCTCCTTGGTGAGATCCTTTTGGAAGCAGACTGGACCATTACGCCTCTTGCTGGTGCGCAGCTCCAACAGCGGTGAGGTGCGGTGGGCATGGGACAAACGTCCCCGTAGCACTCTTTGCACACCTTGAAGCTTCATTAGGCAGATCGGAAAGCTTCAGTGTCCATGATGCGTTGCACGCGCGTATTAAGCCACTGTCATGAGAAGCGCATCTGCCTGGCTAAACAATGTGAGCTGGCACTGCCTTTCATGATGCTCTATCCGGTGGGCTATGATCTTGTCTCCTCAGCGCAGAGTCCAGTACAATCTAGATACTTGGTGTGTACCGCTTTGTACGCCCATCGAATTGCCTGCTTGCCCAGACCTAGCCAGCAAGCCGAACCCTTCTAGCTGAGTCAGCTCCTTGGGTCCGACAATGTACAGGAGTCCACACCTGCAGCATGTACTCCACACCTGCAACATGATAATTGATGTCTCTGCCAATTGCATGTTCAATAGTCCTGTCTCTGAAAAGCCTACATGTTTCAAGTGCTGAAGGATGATGTAAATCGGGGCAAGTAAGATTCTTGTCCGGAGAAGAGCAGAGGGCGTGCTTGATTTCAGATGCAGTGCTCTGGACTTGACTACTGATGGCGTCCAAATGTCTTAATGACGACTCAAGGCAGAGGTAGACCGAGAGACATGGTACAAAGCAGTGCATGCATTGCAACAAAAGGGAAAGAAGCACCTCATGCTGGAAGACAATGTTCTGTTGTGCTACAACATAGATGAGAGGCAGAGGCAACTTTGCTGAGAGGGATGCACTGCTTGATTCGCCTTGCCCAGCGCATCGAGTCATCTGCCAAAAGCCAGCGTATGCTCCTGTTGCATTGCCAATAAACAGACCAGCCGCTGAGCTCTCAATGCTTGCTAAAATGACCAAACTTTTTGAGCAATGCCAGACTGTCCATATGGCCAAAAGCATGGACTCTGTTGAATCGAATACGTCATCAAGCTGCATGACGCCCCTCCTGCCAGAGCGCAAAAAAGGTGGCAAAGCGATGTCATAGGAGCGTAAAAATGCTAGCGCACTTGATGCGTGCTCAAAACCAGCCAAGCAACGCAAAAGAGGGCTCCTGTCAGGCGTGTTCACGGAGAAGATCACATTATTCAAGGGAGATAACTCCACGTTCAACTGAGGTACATGTAGGCGCGTGTGCGCGCCGTGACAGCTCCACTTCCAAACAAGTCAAGCACTTTGCTTTCATTGAGGGAGAGCCTTCAGTCCCTGTCAACCTGCTTGCGCTTGTTCTCGGGAGAGTCTGCGGTCTCTGGCAGCCTACATGCGCTTGCTGACAAGACCAACAAAGCTGGTCTGTTGCGCTTGTGACTGGCTGGCAGGCAGAGTCTTTCAAATCCCCAGTAGTTGCCTAATCGCCTCCTTGTGGGGGCACAAGGTTGGACCCCAAGTGTAACGATGCGGCTCAGCGGCGATAGCTGGAGTCGTCACCGGCGCAAGTAAGGTTCTGTGCTCGTCGAACTAAGAGCAGGGAACAAGCGGTGAGTGGACTGAACGTTACGACTGGCGAGGACTTAGCTGATGGTAGAGCTAAGAAGAGAGAGAGAGAGGGAGACAGCTGGGTGATCAGTCCAGGCGTCGAGCAAGCGTTGAAGGTGGTTGGTCGGAGTAGTGATTCAGTCAAAGTTGTCGTACGAGAAGGTTGTGGTAGGAAGCATGCATTTCTGAGAAGAGGAGGCCGGAAGAAGGCCTCCTTATATACCTTTTGTCGACGCTTGTCTGTGTATGG